AAACGTGTAATGTACAAAAACTAATAAAAACGTTCGTAATAATAGTATTTTGTACGATTTGTGCACGCCGAGTGCGAAAATACACGAAATAAAGGGAAAACTGAGTGAAATGTACATCGGAAATCGACGCGAAAAAATCGCTCAAGTGTGCGCACGTTTGCGGATTCGAAGTTAACAGCCGAATTCGCAACGATGGAATCGCGCTAATGTGCGCTTCGCTTAATTGTGAAGCATATTCATATTCGAAATAAAGTCGATGCACGTTTTTTGACAGATATTCTATTGCAATCGTGAGTAGAATCGGTATTGGGTACCGAGTATTCGCAATTCAGCACATCACTAATATTTTCGACTGCCGTGCAAATTTTTGGTAAATCATTTTATTGATCTTATTCATATTGAAGTATTTGTATACATAGTTACTTGTTTTCAATTTGCAATTTACCCCCGCCGTATAGAAACATGGATTTTCAAAACAGACCCGGCGGTAAAACCGGCAGTGGGGGTGTCGCTTCATGGTCGGAAACTAATCGCGACCGCAAGGAGCGTCTTCGCCTACTTGGTAAGATATATTGTTTTTAACATGGTTAAGTTAACAATAATTTTTCCTTATAGCCTTGGAAACAATCGACTTGAATAAGGACCCTTATTTTATGAAAAATCATTTGGGTTCGTACGAGTGCAAGCTTTGTCTGACTCTTCATAACAATGAGGGCAGTTATTTGGCCCATACACAGGGTAAAAAGCATCAAGAAAACTTGGCACGACGTGCTGCTAAAGAAGCCAAGGAAGCGCCATATGTGCTTGCGCCAGAAAAACCGCGTGTTGAACCGAAAAAGTTTGTAAAAATAGGTCGCCCCGGTTATAGAGTGACTAAACAACGTGACCCAAGCAATGGTCAGCAATCCTTACTTTTCCAAATCGATTACCCTGAAATCACTGATGGTATCATCCCACGTCATCGGTTCATGTCCGCTTATGAACAAAAAATTGAACCCCCGGATCGTAAATGGCAATATTTGCTCTTCGCCGCTGAGCCATACGAGACCATTGCATTTAAAGTTCCGTCACGAGAAGTAGAAAAAACCGAGGGGAAATTTTGGACACATTGGAATCGCGATACGAAGCAGTTTTTCCTACAATTTTCATTTAAATTCGAACCAAAAATCATCCCACCACCTCCACCACAATTACATCGTGCACTGGGCCCTGCTGGCGGTTTCCCGATGCCTGGTCCACCACGTCCGCATCACATGTTCAATGGTGTGCCACCGCCACCACCAATGGGTGTGCTTCCTGTACCGCCGCCACCCATGTGAGAGGAGGAAACAACTCCCGTCAGCAGTGGCAATGGCTGATTGCTGCGGAAGTTGTATTAAAATTAAATTGCGGATAAGATTTCTATATAAAAAAGTGAACATTTTGGTGTCATAAAAGATCAAAAATACTGTATTAAAAATTATATATGTATGTACGCTGATTAATTCCATCTCACACCAATAGTCCTCAAAATATAAAACAGTTATAAAAAATTAAATTTATGTTTTTCAGTGACAAGCGTGAATAGCTATTACTTCTCTTTAACCGACTTCAAAAAAGGAGGTTATCAATTCACCGGAATTCCATTTTTCTTTATAATCATAATCGTAATACAAAGCGCAAAAACAATATCAAAATGAAATATATTTTTATTTTTATGTATGTATATTACCGCATAACTTTGGACCACGTCTACTGATTTCTTTTTTTAAAGGAAAGGTGGTACCTCAGAGATGGTCCCATACTAATTTGGTTTAGATCCTATCATTGGATCACGAAGAAATTAACGGTACTCTTAAATTTGTATGAGAATTGAAGTCGGTTTTGTTTTATGCTTAAAAATTACTTGTCTTGTGATTATATGTAAATAAATTAATTAGTCTTTTAAACCGACTTAACGATAATCCTAAATTTTTATATGAGAATTGAAGTCGGTTGTTGTGTGCTTAAAAATTACTTGTTTCTCTTGAGTTTCATGATGGCAACTCGTTCTTTGATATTTAAATCTTGCATTGCTATTCGCTCCTGCATTTGTATTTCCAGCTTCTTTAACCTCTCATGGCTCTCAAGCTCCCACTTCCGAAGCTCTTGCATTTTAATATCTTTTTCCTTTTCGTAGCAGAATTTTTCCTTTTCAAAATGAAATTTTTCAATTTCCAGAGCTAATTTTCTTTCCTCAAAGTCCGAGTGGCCATTCATTTCAAGCCCACTGTTGAGCTCATCAGACTCACAGTTTATACTAGAAGACTTATAAATTGAATCTGAGTAGTCCTTTCTGTGGGAGTTGGCTTCCATTGATGAATCTGAAGCTTCATTTGAAATGTGGTCAAACCCACCTGCAGAAACGGATAGACTAAGCTCCAGCTCATTTTTTATATCTGGACCGGCAGATTCGGATTGTTCGAACTGCGTATGTTGTTGTGCATGGGTTTCCAACCTTTGAAAATGTCTTATTGGGCTTACCCGAACTCGAACGATATCGCTATCACCATTGTTGGAGCTTATTTTAGCACATTTAGATAGGTCATTTTTGGAATCGCTTTGTTTCAAGTATTGAGGAAACTCTACTGATTTAAATGAGCATTGCATATCGATTCCGTGTCGATTTGATATGTCCTCGAAAACATCAAAAAAGTTGCACATTTTCAAAACCGTTTCTAATGAGAAAATGCATTAAGATATTTCAAATGTTATTGTTTCTCAAATGTGTAATTTACCTCGTCGAATTTCTTCGCTTAGCGACTTTGCCTCAGTTGAGCTTTGCCAGCATTTGGCTTTTGTATACTGAACGCGCAAATTTCTGACTTTACTGCGCACTAGTCGCCCTTCAATCGCTATTTTGGATTGATTAAGGAAGCGCTGGTAATACAATCGTGCGTTGGGTTTTTCAATTGGCAAATTGTTGCGTACAAAATCTAATAGATTATTCTGTTCCTGTTCGCTCCACTTGTGCACCGGCCCTTTCCGCAAACGCTTTGGTCTCTAATAAACAATGAATTATTAATTACATTGTTAACTAAGCAATTCACTTACATTCTTAACGGCTTTCCGCCCTTTGCTTGGAAAATCGTGAAACGCCATTATTCAAGGGCAGCTGGTATTTGCATTTCGTATTCATGCGAAGCATCGCGAAACGAAATTAACTGTAAATCGGATTAATCATTGTATAACCGGCCTCAATTAGAACGAAATGTAACATCAGAAAACTTTAACCAGTTCCCCCTAATATTTTATTAGGAACGCAGTCCTAAATACAAAATGTAAACAAAAATGTAACTAGGAATGTTCGATATCGTATCTATATTTCATCGTGCGATAATAGATTTGTTGAATCGATATTCCCAGGTCGATATATCGAAAACATGGACATGAACCAATTAGAACAGATCTGACCGGTTGAGAAGCAGCCATTTGTAATAGCAGTTGAGAAAAAAGTGTGTGACGTTCTTAATTTTAAAGTTTGCTATTTCCGTTTTGTTTCTTTCTTTATGTGTATTTTGTCGGTGGTTTATTTCGGTGATTTTTAAGGGATTTTCAATCAACTTTTTGTGCAAATGTAATTAAAATGAAGTGCGCGGTGTTCGGTTGCAAACATACGTACAAAAATAATAAACTGGTTAGCACAAAATATTGCTTGAATTTTTTCTTTGTTTCGTCTTCATATTCTTTGTTTGCTTTTCAAAGAAAATAATATGGCGCCGAAATTACAAACATCAGCCAAAAAATTACTTTTTCTTTTGCTTCATATTGTCAGATCTTATGTAGTTGGATCATGGACATGGATACTTTACCCGGAATCATGATTCAATAATACAAGGTTAGATAACACTATGTAACAAGGTTTTTGTCCCTGGGTTGTAATTGTTATTTCCTAGTCAGTTAGGTCCCAAAAGTATAGAAAACAGCTATTGTCGCAAGATAACTTTGCTTTTGTGACCATGGCAGCGCTTATCTGCGTTTATTTTTATGCTTGTTTGTTGAAAACTGATACACGAGCGCATACAACTTGTTTTCTCTACATTTGTGTGTGTTAAAACTAGTGTTGGACAGTATCGATTCCAAAAGTACTCTTCAGTACTCGATGCTGAAAAGTATCGACAGTACCCGATGCTTAAAAGTATCGATACCAAAGTAGTAAATACACAAAAGTACTCGATACTGCCCAACACTAGTTAAAACAACAAAGTCGTCGCAATAAATTTTGCAACATTTTTGTGATTTATTGAGAGTTGTTTCTTATTTTATTACAGATAAATTCGTTCAAACATGGCTTCACGAGGCTGCAAGTATCCTGCAGATGCATTTTGTTATGTCTGCGGATATTTTATCAAAACAAGAGCGAATAAGTACTCTTTGGAAACAGGTTTTAAAATGTGCAAAGCTTACAATGCTTATTTCGGCATGCCTGTGGGTGATCAAGACAAATCCTGGGCACCTCATTTCGCGTGTGAAAACTGCAAAAGGACTTTGGAAGGTAAGACATTTTAAAACTATATTGCTTTGTTATGGGTAAAATAAATGTTTCTATTAACTTTTTTATTAGACAGCACTTTTCTTTTCTAATTTTTTTTTTCAGGATGGTACAGAGGGGAAAAGAGAGCTATGAAGTTTGCTGTGCCAAGAGTTTGGAGAGAACCCACTGACCATTCAAGCAACTGCTTTTTCTGCATGGTGGACCCTTCCAAACGTCGGACTGGCAAAAAAGCAAGTCAAATCATGTATCCTGACATTCCTTCATCCATGGCTCCAGTTCCACACAGCTCTGACCGCCCCGTTCCTACTCCTCCAGAGAAAGAGCAGGTGTCTTCCTGTGAGAGCCCTGATTCCATGAGTGTGGAAGACAATGAAGGTGAAGGATTTAATTTACTAGCTGATAACAAAAACCCATACTATCCCAACCAAAAGGACATGAATGATTTGATCAGAGATCTTGGTCTAACCAAGTCCGATGCTGAACTTTTGACGTCCAGACTAATGCAGTGGAATTTGCTGGATCCTAGTGTTAAAGTCACATGTCATGACTCGCAGTTTAAACGCAAATGTCGAAAAACCACCCGCTTCTGATTTACTTTTATGTTTTTGGTTTTCTGAAGTTTTAATAAAATTTAGTTTTGATTTATATGTGCTGTTCTGTATGATTTTCTCTGTAGTGAAAGACTCAAACACGTTTTTCTCATAATTTTAGCATATTTTAATGAATCACATTGTCCTGGTCACAAAAGCAAAGTTTCCGAGGAATATTAGGTGGTTTCCATACTTTTAAGGCATAACAGACTAGGAAATAACAATTACATCCCAAGGACTGAGAAAAATTTTTTTTTTGTTACTTAGTGTAATTATTGACAGTCGCGGTTTGACACTCCCTTACCAAAGGGCTGCACCTCCCTACTCTAATGCAGTGTTCTTCAAACTGTGGGTCGTGACCCCTTGGTATGTACGTTTGGGGTTGCGCATTCAAAAGATCGGAAAACACTGCTTTAATGCTATTTGATATTGCGTGATGTATAATCATTAAATCTATTGTTATAAGTTTTGAAAGATAAGAATAAATAAGTCAACTCAAACAAATTTCTTATTCAGATGTTATTTGGACCATCGGATCGGATCCAGTTCCAACGGAGTAGTTGTTGTTGATGTAGCGACTACAACAACCCCGCCCAGATCGGTTAATATCTCAGTCGTTGTCGTCAAGTTTCACTAACGGCAGCCCTAAGAAGCTTGCAGCCTCATTTGGGTCGGTCCATAGGGACAAAGGCGTTAGGGTTGTTGGGTATACGAAGAGATGCTTCGAGTCATGAGGTGTCTCTCCGCATACCGGACACTCATTCGGCACATCCGCATTTAGTCTGCTCAGGTATGAGTTTAACCTGCTGCAGTAGCCAGAGCGAAGTTGGGCTATTGCGGTTCTTGTCTCCCGAGGCAGATGAAGCCCAACGGAGTAGTAGTATGCACCTCTGCCACCCAGCCCCATTGGCGGTACCCTGCAAAAATCGTTGGATCATGTAGTCTATTTGTGGTAAATTGGAGTACTTACAAAAGTGTTCCTCTGTCATGCTGTAGCGGACCAACTCGTGTCTCTGCGCCAGCTTATTGTTTGTTATCCGATCACTGCTTGTGTTTTAACGAAATGTGATTGAAGTTGAGCATTTGAAAGCACATTTGCATGTCTGGCTGTAGCTGAACGTGCAGAGATGGTCGCTGTTAGTTCTTAGCTCCCAGCATGTTCGGGTTCGAATGCCGTCAGAGGCAACATGTAATTTTTAATTTTTGTCTTGTTTTTTATTAATTTCGAAAAAGCATTTGAGAAGTGAAGAACAAAAGCGTGTACAAACGAAAAAATATAACAACAATGCCATTGTTAATATGTTGGAGTAGTTTTGTGCTACTCTGATGTAATGCAGGGATGGAGTATATGGTCCTGCCCTAGGACATCGCAATGTTAATTGGACCACATTTTTAATATGAATTGTGGTTAATTTTGGAGCACTCCTTGGTCCTTAGGGAGTACTCTTTACACGCATGCATAGAGTAGTCGCGATTTTTGCAGGGTATACATATAGTTATTCAAAGTAAAAGACTAAGAAATAAAAAAAAATTTATGGCAAAGTTTATAAATATTAAATTTACACTTTTTTTAAATTAGCGCATTAAATTCATTTTTTATTACATGGGGTCATTTTGGACTTTCTTAAACGTGAGGAAAAAACGATCCCGGCTAAGGGTCAAACAAAACAACTCGTCAGATCATTCTTTGTGCGAGAATTTTGTGCTGCGTCCTGTTGAAAAGCGAATGTGTATATATGTATGTGCACTTTATACATAGTGTCTCCCAAAAATTAACGATTTTGAATTGTCAGTCATTTTGCGCATAAGCGGTATGTTTTAAATACAGAATTTAAAAAAGGTCGCAGGTTAATTCTCTTTTCTTCGCTCTAGTTCCATAATGGCAATTCGTTCCTTGATATTTAAATCACGAATTGCTATTCGCTCTTGCATTTGTAGTTCCAGCTTCCTTATCCTTTCTTGGCTCTGAAGCTCCCACTTTCGTAGCTCTTGCATTTTGAAAAATTTTTCTTTTTCAAAATTGAATTTTTCAATTTCCAAAGCTAGTTTTCTTTCCTTAAAATCGCGCTCGTCAAACATTTCATATCTGCTGTTTAGTTCATCTGACTCACAGTTTATACTGGAAGGTTCATTAAATGACTGTTTGTGGGGGGTATCCCCCATTGATGAATCTGAAGTTTCATTCAACATATAGTCATATCTATTTGTAGAATCATGTAGGCTAAGTTCCTGCTCAATTTTTACATCCGGCTCCGCGAAATCCGGTACAGGTTCGAACTGGGAATGAAGTTGTTTTCATGTGTTAATTTTTTAATCTTTAAAACTATTTTTAAGGCTTACTTGAGTTTGAACAGTATCACTTGTACCAACGCAGGAACTTATATGACCGTATGTACCTAGATCATTTTTTGGATCACTTAGTTTACTATATTGGGGAAACTCTAAGGATTTGAGTGAACACTGCATATCCATCCCGTGTCGATTTGATATCTCCTCGAAATCATCAAAAAAGTTGCACATTTTCAAAACCATTTCTGTATCAATAAAATAAAAACAAAAAAATTTGTACTAATTCAAATATGCTAAACTAATGTACCTCGTCGCCTTTCCTCACTCAGCAGCATTGCCTCATCTGAGCTTTGCCAGCATTTTGCTTTTGTATATACAACACGCAAATTTCGCACTTTGCTTCGCACTAGTCGCCATTCAATCGCTATTTTAGAATGTTGGGAGAAGCGCTGGTAATATAATCTTGCAGTCGGTTTCTCAATTGGCAAGTTGGTGCGTAAAAAATCGATTAGCTTCTTCTGTTCCTGTTCGCTCCATTTGCGTATCGGCCCTTTGCGCATGCGTTGTGGTCTCTTTATGGACAATAAATTGTTAGTTACAATTTTAATCAACCTAAATCGCTTACATCCTTAATATCATTATATCCTTCCATGGGAAATGTATCCATTATATGAAGACAGTTGGGTTTCTCAAAGCGACATCAAACAAAATGATTAAAGGTAAATCGCTTGATTCATATTTTATTCGAGATCACTTAAAACTCTTGCATTTGATTTATATACCAAATAATATTTTTCCACAATTTTTATAGTTTATGAAAACTTCAACCTGTTAGACTAAAATAATTGCCGTCATACAAAATGTAAACAAATTTCGATAGATTCCATATCATCGGTTTCCGAAAATTTATCGATCGCAATTTAATTAAACCCCGTTGTAGAGTTTACACAATATTACGTTCTCATTGAGCCATAAACTTGAGTTTAACGTTTTGAGTTTATGAACAACTATCAAGCGTTCACAACTATCAAGTGTTTAATGGGCTGTTTTTGCTTACGCGTTAAAGAAAATTTAGCGAATTTAGCTCTAAATGTACATTTATCCATACAAAATTCGTCACCTAAATGCAACTCTTTACACGCATGCATGGAGTAGTCGCGATTTTTGCAGGGCGTATCTATTACGATCGATTCTCACGCAGCAGATAATGTGCAAAAAACCCTACCGAAAAGGAAATAATAAATTTTGGACCAAAAATTCACTGCAATCGTGGAAATTTTGGAAGATCACAGGGTTGCTTTTAGTATTTAGGTTCTTAATGCAAAAATGGTGACGAATTTATGCATTTAGGTGACGAATTTTGTATTAATAAATGGACAAACCAAAAGGCGCATTCTATTTGGTAAGGTAATCCTAAAGCGCGGCTGAAGGCCGCCTTCACGGAAAGAAGTTCTGCGCCTTTTTCTTGGCAACACAGCAAAGAGAATTCTGAGCAGTAAGGGTTATAATCCCTAAACGCGGTTGAAGGCCGCCTCGGCAAAAGAATTTTTGCAACATAGCATACATCAAATTAAAGATATATTTATCAATATCATATCAATTAATATCATATTGTAGATGGTCTTTTGGCACTAAATGTTTCTACTAATGAAGCAGCAATTTATTAGTGCAATAACATTTTGGATAATACTAATAGAATAGGGGTATTCTCTGAGTCTTGCAAAGCCCTTGCATGGTGCACAGATTGCACGGATTGCACGGTAAAAACCGGTTTTCGTATGGGACAGCTTTGCAAACCGTGCAATCCGTGCACGGTGCAAGGGCTTTGCAAGACTCAGAGAATACCCCTAATGTATATTCTAGCGAAGAATTTGGAAGCAACAAAATAATTTATTATGTACAGTGTACATTACCAGCAAAAGTCGATGCATCGAAAAAAATACATCTCGTAAAGTCTTAAACCGTATAAAACTCGTAAGTTTTCGAGTTTTTATGGGAACGCAACTTTTGTGAAAAGGTGTAAATAGGTGCGTAAAGTGACTGTTTGACAGATCAACCAGGATTTTGTGAAGCAATTTTTGTTAAAAAAAAAAATATTCAAAATAAATTTTTTGTGATTCAATTTGTACGGAAAAAGCTTTCTGATACAACTCTGCGCTGAACTGGTTTTCAAGCGAGTTAAATGATTTAACTGGGTAAATTTTCCAACAACAATTGCATGCGATTTAACTTGTTTATAAACACATTTTGTTCATTTGACTCGGTCAAGCTCATTTAACACGCTTAACTCGTAAATTTGAATGTTTTGTAGTCCCTTACAAAAGGTTGCAATTACGAAGGACAGAGGAAAGGGAAGAATGCAACCCGTTGTTGCGAAAATGGTAGTAGAAAAGTACGCAAAGTAGCCAATTAGTACTGAAATTCTTTTTATGAATTTTAATGTATTTGCAGGAAATCTGGCAATTTAACGAAATATTAATATATATACCTGAATTTCGTAATTTATTGTGCTTTTTTGCTGTATAAAAACTTCAAAAGGACTCAACATTAACATCAAACTGCTATGAGATTTACGTAAACATCTAATTTAAAAACTATTTATGTTTTCACCAGTTAAATGTGCTTCATATGCATATACAAATGAACATATCGCACAAAGTCGTATACTTCTATTTCACAGCAAAACTACACTGTTTCCAATAAATTTGCAAAGAAGCAACACGGTTCCACTGCTAATGGAGCGTTGCGAGAGAGACAACTGTCAGTTTATCGAACCTTGTGTTATTAAAGCCGTCATCGATTCGCCAACAGTTAGCGCGTGGCGAAACGAACGAATACAATGAGGTACAACCAAACTCGCTATCGTCTATCCGTGCTAGCTAACTTTGTTGTTGCTTTCACATGCAAAATTTTTCGTTAAGCGACCGGAACTCAAACATAGCAAGCAGCGAAGTGGCGAATCGATGACGGCTTAAATCATAGTGCGTCAAATGTTAACTGTTGGCCAACGTTCGTTACTTGCTGTCTCCACAGGTAAAAGTTTTTATCTTGATAATGTTATCAGGCAAAATTTTGCCCATGGAGACCGCATATTGCTCTTGGCAAGCAATAATTATTAGAGCTTTTATCTTGATAAATATTGCCAGCAATTTGGTACTTTGACAGCTACATTTTCATTTGCGCGATAGCTTCGTGGAGACAACATTATCGATATTTCAATATAAAATCAAAAATTGAACTGTTTTCTATTAAAATATGTGTTATTATTTGCTTGGGTGTGAAATAGCATATTTTTTAAACTTTTTAATTGATGAAATCCGGCAAAAATTGCCATCTTATAAATGCTTTTATCAAGATAAAAAATGCCCACGCACAAATATTGCCGCTGATAAAATTTTTATCAGGCAATAAAAATGACAGTTGGTAGGCAACAACTTTTGCCTGTGGAGACGGGCCGTTAGGTCCGTTGACGCAAGGGTTGCCAATCTGACGCTCTCTATGCAAACACACACAGTCTACTCAACTGTCAGTTTCATCCTTGAGCGGAACGTACGCAAAAAGCCCATTCTGACGGGATTATAATTGTTTTCATTTATTCTCATTATTTTATCATATATTTTTGTATAAAAAACACTGAAGTTTACGAGGTCGTTTGCGCATCAAATTTGCCTAATAAATTTGCCATACAAATTTTGACAGTTCTCTTACGAGGCTCTTAAATTTACGAGCTTTATGAGATTTACGAGGATTTTACGAGTTTTAGGGAAGACCCCTATCGATATTTCGATGTATATCGGAAGGTCCGTAACACCGGTTTTAGTCGATACATCGAATAGCAAAAGTCGATGTGCCGATGCATCGATGTTTTTTTTTTTGCATCACTACACGGCAGACATTTTTTCAAAGTACACACACAAAAAATTGACCGAATGTAGACGAGGGAAAAGCTTAAAATTTTCCAATTAAAAATTTATTAATCGGCGCAAACATTTAAATTCAGCAAAGAGCAGTGAAAATTACCATTCTTTAACACGTTTAAATAAAAGCAAGGTTTGTAATAGTTCTGAAACAATGGGGGTGGTAAAATTGGGACTAGAGAAAAAAAAATGAATTATGCGTGCATTTGAACTAAATTTAACAAAAAATATATTTGTTACAGCATTTTTATCAATAAATATACTGCGTTTCTGAATAAAATGAGTACAGTAGATGCAAGTGGAGGAACTGGAGGAGGGGGCGCCCCTGGGCCGGGTGGTGGCAATGTAGGGGGCGGAGGTGGTGTTGGAAGCGGGGGAGGCCCAGGTGGTGGCGGCGGTAGCGCAAATAGTGGAGCCCTAAACTCCGTTGTGGCTGGCATGGGTTCAACACAGGCGCCAACGGGAGGTGAGTACGTGTAATTGTAACGCTCGTGTGCGCACAACAAATGTAAACTAAAGCAATAATAAGGCAGTGTATTGTAACTATCGTGCATATGCTTTTTAGAAAAATTCACATATGTACTTGTTTGGTTATGATTTGTATCCATTCGTGCATACGTATATAAAGTATTGGTCTCTTCTTTTTCTGATAATATTGCAGTTTTTGTATGCGTTTGCTATTTTCTATTTGCTTAAGTATTCATTTTCTGTACGAAATTCATGCCCAATGTTCCTCTCCAATTCTCAAGTGTATCGGGGGCAGTGTTGTCGTGGTGTTTAAAATTTTAGTGTTTATAAATTTTTAGTGATAAAGAAAAAATCTTAATAAATGTATGTACGTTAAATTTGTAGCATAAAATCATTAATTAATTGTATATTAAATAGAGCGGCTGCAAAAGATAAAATATCATTAAAATTTCAAACTTTTTTTTTAAATACACTTTGTTCATACGTTATATAGAAGAAAATATTCAAAACAAATTTCTAAAAATTAAAAAAAAAATTAATTGTACCAAACTTAAATGGGCTACAAAACTGCATTTTCGAAACTTTTCTAAAAGTTCTGAATGAAAATTTTCAAATTTTGATGCAATTTTTTTTTTTAAGTTAATTTTTGTCAACTTTGTGCAAGCTTTGAAAATTTTATTCATGTAGTTTCTAGACCCAACTATGTTTAAAATTAAAATCATTAAAAATAAATTAATAAACATAGGTAAGTTGCAAACAATATCATGTTGAATTTTACTACTATCTTATTGACCTGACCGCAGCTGTATATACATACAGTTACTTCCAAAGTTCAGCGTATGACTTTTTTGTTAATATTCGCTGTTTTACATGCTAAAAATGTTTTGTTAATTTTGTATTAAAATTTGGCTTATATTTTAGCAAACTCCATTTAAATCCAAGAATGATACCGCGTACAAGAATTAAGAAAAATCTTCAGCAAAATTTTTTTTTGCTGACTGTCCAAATTTTTCCATATAAACAATTTTCAGAATTGTTTTACATGAAATTTGCACATTATTATACTAAAATTTAATGGAATGAATTCTTGTTAGAAATTCGTAATAAAAAGTTCGCAATTTGCTTAATATTTTTAAAACAGTATCATTCTTGGATTTAAATGGGATTCGTTAAGGCATAAGCCAAATTTAAAAACAAAATTAAAAAAATTAGCATTTAAAACATTGCGAATATTAACAAAAAACAGCCGTACGCTCAATTTCGGGAATGACAGAGTAGGTACATACGTATATTAGCAGGCAGATAATTAGAGCAGTTGTCTTTACAAGTTTGGCAATTTATCTTTCTTTATTAGTTTTAATTAATTATTATTTTTTTTACGAAATGTTGTTGTTGTTGTTGTAGCAGCATACAAATTCCCCAAAAACTTTTTGGGGAGTGTTGCTGGAGTGACAGTCCTTGGCCAGATATAAATCTGGGTCGTTCCGGTTACGTAGACCCGACTGTCGTGGGAACGAAATTATAGTCCATGCTACAACGTTATCAAACCTTGGGTAAGATTTATAAAAACTCGCCAAAATTTTGAAAAATGGTAATCAAACATTCAAGCTTTTTAATCGGAATATCTATGGTAACCATATTTATGGGAGCCGGATACGGGACAAAAAAAAATTTTCCACAAAAACTTACAGCTCTTAAAGCCCTTTAAGGAATTTGTATGCTGTTACAACAACAACAACATGGGTTGTTAGCAGTCGCATCTAAACAGTATTATGTATATAGTTTTTCTTAGGAAAAGAGCTTTACTTTCATAAAAAATAATAAACATTAAATAAACTAAGGAAAAATAGCCAAACCTTGCTAATTTATATTTTTGGTCACTGTACGTATTCCCGAATCGAAACACAGGTATCCAGATTAGAAAATTATAACAATAATAATAGAGAAAATTACGATCATATATGTACCAACATCACTTCAAACTAATTCATAGGCATGTCATTTTAATGAGGGGTAAAGGCGTTGAAACACCGAATACGGGACAAATACAGGACATTAAAAAAAAAAATACAGAACATTTGGCGTCCCGTATAAAACAAATAAATTGGCAGGACAATGGGTAAAAAAAAAAGAGGACTGTCCCGTATGATACAGACGGATGGTCACCGTAGGAATATCAGAAAAAATTCGGATATGTAGTTTTAAACCCGATTCAATTTTATTATAATACTAGCAGGCCCGGCGAACTTCGTCCCCCCCAAAATTAATTTTTTTATTGAAACATTTGGTCCAACGTTTTCGCCAGCAATTCACGTTCACGTTTGGTTAGTGGTCGACAGAAGGCATATCCTCTATTGCCGTCTTAAATAACCTGACGAAAGCGTTATACCGGGAAGAAGTCCTTGCGGCTCTATGGTGAATCGTCCTTGAATCTCTATAGTATAGTTGGTGGCGATTTCCAAACTGATGAGTATCATTGGTTCACATTCTGTTTAGTCACCGTAACGCAAGCACCGCAATGATTTTGATGGTTGATTTTGCGGGGGTAATTTGTCTTTGATCCCTGGTGCCTGGCGAATTGACAATTTTTGGCAATAATCGTAATCAGCACAAAATTTGCCAGCATTTGTTGCATGCAATTTTTTTCCATTTTTGTGTAATAAACAAATACCTTTCTGGGTAATAAACAAACACCTTTCGAACTGTAAAACAATGACTCAATTCTATTCTACGCATATCTATAATAAGGGTATCGAATTTCAACCAAATCGGACCATAAATAGCATTTTTGGAATAGATATCAGAAAAAAGTATCCTATGTGTTAATCCTGGCAATAAACTACCTACATGTCAAATTTCAAGCAAGTCGCACCATAAATTAGATTTTTTGCAATAGATCGGTATATGGTCCACCTATCAGAAAAAATATCCTATATGTTAACCCAGGAAATATGCTATCTACGTGCCGAATTTTAAGCAAATCGGACCATAAAGGGACGACCGCACTGAGCGACGCGACACTGCAGCGGCACTACGCGACACGGTGCGACACTGAAACTGCAGAGGCGCGACACTTCGCTGCTAAATTTTTAATTTTTTGTGTCAAAACCTTCAAACAAGATGCTAGTGACGCTGATGTAATGCGACACCAGGCGACGCGACATTTTTGGTCAACTTTGCCATGCAGCGTCGCGTTGCGTAGCTCTGCTGCAGCGTAGTGCGGTATGCTCCATAAGAATCCATGCAAAGAATATCTTTCCGCGCTGTGTAGTGTCGTGTCGCGTCGCCTAGTGCGGTCGTACCTTAAATACGACTTTTTGGAATAGCTCGGTCCCTGGCCCCCTTAACGGGAAAAATGGTTCCTATATGCTAATCTAGGCAAAAGGCTACCTACGTGCCAAATGAATTTTTTTTTAGTGTAGCTTTTGACCCTTGCGCCACCTATCGGAAACAACAAAACTTTGTACACTCCTCCTTTTAAACACCTTTCAAAGAAAGCAGCAACCATTCTAATCGGTTATGAAACATAGGAGAAAATTGTTCCCAATTGATTCATGCTCACAATGAATTTCACAATTATCCGAAATTTTCCAAGCTTCACAACGAATTTTCCACCATTACATCGTCCAAAATCATCAAATCATGCGATAAAATGCAAAATTTCGTAAAACAAATTAAAATTTTTCGCGTTCTTCCGGATTTTGCTGAGTTTTCCACTTAGTTTTCTTTTTTCCTTTCAAAAGCCATTCCGAAGGAATCGCACACAAAATTCCATACAAAAAAAAATCTACTTTTCGATTTTTCCAATTTTCCGACTTTCCCGGGGGATCATCCAAAATTTTCTTTCGTAAAAACCTTCTCCTGGTAATTAGGAACATCTAAAAAAAATTTAGCTAAATCGGTCCAACCGTTCTCAATTAATGAATTACTATACATTTTTCACTCCATTTTTATATATATAGAGAGAAGCACGATGTGAGAGGCATAGAAAAAATTTCGATGAAAAAAACAATGTATTTTTTCTCAGGTTCAAAACAATCCTATCTTTTAAGTTGCAATCAACAATACACACCCACAAAATTTCATCGAAATCGGTTAAGCGATTTCGGAGATTATCTTAAACGAACTCAGTGGCACGGGATTTTTATATATTACGATTGATAAGAAACAGCTGTTCCTAAACGGCGGTTTCCAACTGAATTTCAGTTTTTTTGCAAAAGTATTGTGTCGTTATTGTAAGGGACCATCGATATGGGAATTCATGCATTTCCATAATGAAATAAATTCGAGCATAAATACGATTTTTGGTTACATATACATATGTAACTCAATTTCAGCGCCACCTGGGGACAATTTTTTTCGAAATAATTCTTTTTCCTGTTATCAATACATATTTTGAATCTGAGGATAATCGGACCATAAACTCGACTCCAACGCCCCCTGGCGGCTCTTTTGTTTGCAGAGGTATTGCTTTTCCTATTGTAAATACATATCTCAAATATGAGGCGAATCGGACCATAAATACGGGCTTTACTAATAACTCGACTCCAGCGCCACCTAGGGGTTGTTTTAATAGTTAAACAAATATCATAACAAATATCATAATATCGACCCAGTTATAAGTTCTTGAGTTATAAATGGTGTCACTAACACGACTTTGTTTTATATATATAATAGAGATTGTGCAAGTTTGAAGAAGTTCAAGAATTTGAGAATATTTTTTTTGCTGACGATGTTGCTAATTTTCTTCTATACAAAAAATGTTCGAACATGCTTTGTATGGGAGAAAATGCGTCACCAAAAAAATTTTTAGTTCACTTTAAAGATTAGTTCACTTCTAGTTCGTTCAGCTCAAGGAACTAGTTCTTATGAGTCTTAGTTCATTCATCTTATTGAACTATAGTTCATCTAACTGAACTAGTTCGATTGTAGGAGCTGACCCTGCCAGAAATTGCGCGACTAATCTCTAAAGAGAGTATTCCGGGATTAGACTTATCGTGTACAATTGGGCATTAATTAGTCGCAACTAGTCTCATACGGGTATTATTGAGATGAATTAGTCTCGACTCATCCCCTACGGGTACGATTGGAGGGTTTATAAGGAAAGTTAATTTATTTAAAAGAATTTATCACAGTAAGAAACGTAAATTACCTTTTTAATCTGCATTAACATTAATAATTACTAAATTTTTTATAAATAATTATTGGCTAACAACATTGTAAATTGCCTACATGTGTATTGCACTCGAATAAACCAGTTACTCGAGTTACAGAACAACAGAAATGTATGTTTTATAACAGATACACACATATAAAAGATTGAATTAATCTGTAAAGTAAAAACATAATTTTTTCTACATTTCTAAGGTCCTCTGCAATAACAACACAATTCAGTCGTCTTCATTCATTCGTCTTTCTCCATTATTACGAAAGGATGTTTGTCTTTCATATGGCGATTCAAATTTTCATGAGAGGCACCAATAATGCTTATGGAAATATTTTATTTTCTTCAATTTTGAAATGCGACCAAATTACGCTTCGCTTTGGCATCCGAAAGCTAAAGTCGCGGGTGACTTCCAAACTAAATTCGGAGTGGCAAAAATAAAAATAAAATATATTATTGTGTTCTATTTATTCAAATAATGTGACTACACACTTGCAAGTTAAAAAACAAGAGCTCGTAAAGCCACAAAAGAACTATCTCGCTCTGAGGAGCTATATTTTTTAAGAGCACTAAATAAACTCCTCACATGTTCGGCTCACTCATGAGTTTGAAAAAACAAAACTGCAAAGCTTTTTGCGTCAAACTTAAAAAACCGAATCCAGATAAATCGATGATAAACAAACAAGCAAGCAAGAAGCTCAATAAGTGTTCCACCGTCTCATCTTCTTCAAAGCAGGTTGGGCAAATGGAGTTGTCATTTACGCCTATCACAGTCAGGTGTTTGTGCCACGTGAAGTTACCAGTCAGCAGTCCTGTCTTCTCAGTGAGAGGAAAAAATAGATGACTTTCTGAGATTAAAAGCAACATGAGTTTTGCCCACCTGCATCCACTCGATGGTTCCCAGTCATTGCTGAGCGAAGTATTCACCCAGTTTCTGATGGTGGCTTCGATGTCTCATTTCCAGGCACTACCGAGTTGCCCGACACCCAGAGTAAAGCACGCTCGTTATCTTTGACATTATTTAGTCGAGACTTGCTTTGCCGAACGAGTTTGGAAGTACTTAGATTGGCTGTACCTGTGGACATATAAACTCCTTCCCCTCCACCTATTTTCCACGCTTTAGGGACTGCAAATACCTCAGCCTGGAATACCGAAGCATGTTCCCCAAGAGAAAAAGTGAAGCTTATTCCCGTTGACTTCGAAAAATACTCCAGATCCTGACCCTGAGTCAGTTTTGGAGCCATCAGTGAAGATTCGACAATGTATAAGTGTGGGCTCAGTGCTGGAATTAAATCAGCATTCCCGCCTCAAGGAGCACTCTCTCTCTAGAATCTCTTCAACAAAGGTAATGGTGGCGTGTTATCCTGTAGCATTGAAAAGACACAAGTGCTCAAATATCTGCCGCCGGCAATTTCCGCATCGCCTCACTCAGTTTTATACCAACATCCGTTTCTTTTTAGTCTGCAGGTGGCCTTTAAGGCTTCCCCTTTTATGATGACACAAAGTGACTGTAAGTTCGCCAGGGTGTCAAGAGCACTATACATTAAAGTTAAATAAATAGGCTATCAAGCAACCATTTTGGTTGTTTACTATCGAGACCAGATGTTTTTTCGTGGTCCCCTACTTACAACTCGCGGACCCCCATATTTTTTTTACGCCAACGTAGACCTCTGTCGAGTCTCCCTTGGTCCCCTGGTTGTCCACCTGGACCACGTTGAGAATCACTGCACTAAACGATTGAACGATTGAACCTGCGGACAATTACGGGCTAAGTAAGCCCTTGCAACAATAACAACAACTGTGTCTTTTATACATTGTTTTTGAGTGAAAACAGAAGACAACCATGACAAAAATCCCGACAAAATATAAAAATAATTTAAAAATCGCGCGATTTTTATATTTTTTTATATTGTGTCCGGATTTCTTGTCGGGGTTATGTATGATCGTGATTTTGTCGTGTCTGGATTATATCTGGTCGGGATTTGGTCGTATCTGGATTATGTCTTTCGGGATTCCGTATTTCGGTATTTTGTATATCGGGATTTTATTATACACCCCGCGGAAGTAAAGTCGAGATTATTATGGGCAGATGGTCTGATGCTTAAGTCAGCATAGGTCAACATGTTTATCAGACCAGCGCTGACTATTGTTATGTCTAGCGAGCTGTAGCAACCCATAATCCTGATGGGTGCGTCGTCGTTCATTGTGCAGAATGTCGAATCGTCTATCTGCTCAGCCAATTGTGTTCCCCTACGATCGTTTGACAGGCTTAAATACCAAAGATCGTGGTGCGCTTTGAAGTGCCCAACTACCATACGGTTTTCACCTCTGTGGAGCGCACCTATTTCAGGGTGATATCCTGCCAGGCAGCTGGCGGACGGGAGTATATATACGTTAAATATTTCGAGCTCGACATAGCCTAACCGGAAGTCCGTTACAGTTCAATTGTAAAATCTTCGTGTGCCTAAGGAGACTTATTGGAATTTTGGGTGTTAGTGATGTGTGTTGCCGTGCCGCCACATGCTGTGTGCCGCTGCTGAGGCTGTTGCCCTGTGGTGTAGGTGGGCGGCGTCGCAGTTGGGGGTTGCGACCGACCAGCACAGCATGGGCTTCTCGTCCAATCACGCGTGGTGCCCAGCGAAGGCAGGTGTTGCACTTGACTGATGTCACATTACGGAATATCCTGGACTGACACACCGTGCAGATTGTCGGAGGAATTTGGAGTTGTTGGCGGTGGCGTGTGGGTGGTGGTGCAGTTGCATCTGTAGTGTGGCCTGTTGTAGTGTTTGTCTATTGTATTGGGCGGTTGTGTTTGTGTTGAGTTGCTCAGGCGAACTCTGTTGTGCCGTGGAGGCAGCTCGATTGGCGCAGCAAGAGGCCACGTACGCAGTGGTCCATTGCCTGTGAGTCATGAGGCCTGAGCAAACTCGGAGATGGCTCCACCCATTGCACGTGTTGCATCTGACGGAGGTGGAGTTGTGGTGTAGTCGTCTCTGGCACACCCAGCAGGTATATGTTTCTGGTCCGGGGTTTGACTCAATGCCAGCCCTGAGAAAAAGTATGCGAAGAAGAAGTAGCCCTATGGGCGTATAACTTTTGGGGGATTTCGCCGACCTAAACGGGGTTAGATCGCCGAAACAACAGCCCTTGGTCGGGTAAAACCCGAGTCATTCCGGTACGTAGAACCGGCTGTCGTGGGAATGTACTACGATAGCTCGAGCTAGGTGGTTTAAAATAAGATTAGCTAGTCAAATATTGGTCAGTGGTTCAACATGAACGCAGTTTACATGTCTAGGTTTAAACTTGCACTAACAAATTGGCCCTTACTATCTGTAAAATCCTAAGTAGTTGAATTGTATTTCCACTAAGTCCGCTTTACATACCATGTTCTGTTGTGTTTGACAGATGTCTATTAAACATAGGTGCAGCTAAATTGCAACTTACATTTAAGCAGAATTCTGAAAACTTAAAATTTTGTTCGCTCGTTATAAAAGACAGTTTCGTGGCTTACGTCACAAGGTCGAAAGGAAACAGAATCATAACATTTCGTTTTCTTTATTTTGCTTGTTTAATTCTTCCACAGAAGCTCATAAAAACTTTAAACCCCATTACATAGTACAACCTAACCTCAATCATCAATACCAACAACAATATCAACCATCAGGGCGTCCAACAGCATTCGCCATTCAATCACCAACAACAACAACTACAACGATATCAACAGCTACATTTTCAAGCAATCAAGAATCACATAACCAACATTCCGATTTACCCGATCCCAACACAATAACCTCATATTCTAATTATTTATATACTCCCCCTACCCATCCGCCTGTACACACAACACATTTGCTCCCCAGCGATATTCATACATATGCACCCCCCCAGTCAGTCACAGTCTCACAATCAAACCCTTAATATATATGCTCCTATGCAGTATAATAAATCGCCACATATCCAACCATATTCTTTTGATCCAGTTGCAGCTAAAATTTCCCATGTCAAGACAACACTGGATGGTAATCTGGTGAACACCAGCTCAACTAGTGGTAACAGCATGCAAATGGGCGGCGGCAACGTAAGTGGTGTTAGCACCATAATGACTAGTAGCATTTCAACAGCTGGAGCCATTAAAATGACGACAGCCGGTGGAGCAATAGCGACTTCTATAGGAGGCACGCCAATTGCACTTAATGTAGCACAGTCGCCCACAGCTATACGCACCATTGGCGCAGGCGGTCAATCGACGCAGGTGCGTGTTGTTATGCCCACCAATATTATACCAATCAAGCAGTTTGAAGGAGCTGCCGGTATCGGACGTACGCAGATTACCGCCATACCAGCGGGCGTAGCGGGTGCCACTTCTCGCACTGTTTCCAATACATCCATAACAGTGACAAGACCGCTAACTCAAACCACCTACTTTCCACGTGCTAGCGTTAATGCAACTCAGATGACAGCCGTAGGCTCGGGACAAAGGCTTGTGACGCCAATTCGCACTGGCCCGAATCCTGTCTCAATGAGTGGTGGTGCTACGGTAACCGGGCTAACAACAACTGGAGGATTTGTACGGGGCACTGCTGCCACTATGAACCGTAACACATCATCACCGGCTACATCGGTTATATCGCCAGCGACTAGCACAACTTGGATGCAAACAAACACGGGCGGACAAGTGCAACTCATACGATCGATACCGCAGCAAACACAAAAGCGTATTATCACCGCGCAAGGTATGACCACAAGTACTGGCTCCTATGGCGGCGCCAACATAGCTGGTGGAATGGGTACAGCGGTGGGTGGTACAGTAGTCGCTGGTACACCGCCGTCAGTTGTCCAGACTGGTTGCGGCAACCAAACACAGAACCAAACGAGCGTACCAGGCGGACAATGTAAGTATTCATTAACTATTTATATAAATTCATAATAATAATAAAAAAAAACCATATTTGAATTGCAATATTTTCCTATTTTACAGCTACTGTACAAGCAGTTTCTTCATCTGGCGTTTCGCATAGTCAGCCGCAATCACAACAGCAACAGACCTACGTTGCCACGTTGGCCACTGTGTTACCACCACGTCAGCATCAAGCCACACTGGTTTACTCTTCAAATGTAGCAGCCACTTCACAACCACTCACACAGCAGCCACAACAATTTAACCCCTCCGTAGCTCCAGGCCAACGTCTTGCCGTTGCCACACAACTCTCAGCTTCAGCCACGTCCACCACTGGTACAGCTTCGCGTCAAATACGCCCGATACCATTACCGAAATCCTTTTCCGCAGCCAAACTAAATACGACAAGCATTAGTATACGTTCTCCCAACATGACATCTACGCTTCAACAAGTTGGTAGTGGTGTTACAGGTGGCGGAGTAGGTTCTGTGGTTGCGTCGAGCAATATGACAACTACCAATTCGTCACGCAATACCACAATGGGTGGTGTAACAACCGGTGTTGGCAACAATGTTATACCAACGGCGAATCTGCCTACTACGCGTATTATACAATTGCAACAACCAGCCGGTGGGGCGCAGCCTATCATTGGCTCGACTGGACGTATATCGGGGAATGTGATGTTCCAACCAATCATTGTGAACACTGGTAAACTAGGTAAGCTCGTTATTATCTTTGATCTTTTTAATTAAATGAGATATTTGTCTATGTAGTACATAAGTATGTACATATAGGCATTTGGAAAAAAGGTGGCAACCCTGTTAAAAAAAGCCCTACTGCACACTTACTTTCCGAGCATTTTCATTTGATATGTAATGTTTCTAATGCAACGAACGCAACTTGGATTTTTTAGACAGGCGGCAACACTTAAAAAAAAAAAATCTTGGAGGCCAAGTCCTTTCATTTGACAACTTTTTAGTTCAACGAATAGACCACATCTTATAATTTTTCGTATAGCCGGCAGCCCTTTTCGAAAAAATATAACCTTATCCCCATTTTTTTAATTTTAATAAACCATATCCTTTCACTTGGTACCTAATTTTTTAGTCCAATGAACGGTGAAAGGAGCAAGGTGGCAACTCTATTAAGAAAAATTATACATTATTACATATCTAGAGGCTAAGTCTTTTCGTTTGACAGCGACGGTGCAGGACAGATGCCTATGATTATTATGATTGAATATAGTAATTTTATTAACAGGTGGCAGCCCTCATCACCTCCGTTTAGTACTTTTCGAGGTTACCGCTAACAGAGAATATTGGCTTTCCTTTATACTATGTATAAATATTTGGCTCGTAGTCTATTATTTTAATATATATTCACCGCTTTTAAAAATTTAAACGCGGTTTTTAGCGATATATTGAGTTTTAGTCGAACATGAAAAAGTTGAAATATTGGTCCTCAAGCATAAGCTCCAACACGAGTTTGAGTACAAATTCTTGAGCCTTAGCTCACGTTATCAGTGAAAAAATTGAGTCAGCTTAAGTTCGTGAGCACAAATTGTTTATCATAAAACACAGATTGCATTGCTAACACCTGCTTCTAATTTCTGACTACTGGCCTTTGTCTTTTGCTACCGCCTTAAAAAGGCGTTTGTTTGATTTGCAACTGTACCAATCACAAAAGTAAAAGTTTGCATCCGAACACAAATACTATTTATATAATAAAGCTTAATGTACTCTACAACAAATACAAATACATATCTCTATCCGCTCCAGTCGTCATAGTGATAAGGCTATGACTGTTGAACTCAGACCGCTGAGTCCAACTGTTGTTGTTCGCGCAGTAGTAAAATCGAGTATGCACATGTATATAGCTCAGATAAATTCACTGATTCAGCGTTAATCCTGATATAATATATTTGCAGAGCCAATGTGCCCTTTCATTGTTCGCACTTTCATTGTGACAAGCTCTATTCATTTTAATAACAACGCATGAGAAGTGTTGTATTATCTTTTATAGGTTTAAGTAAATAAGAAAAACAAATATAATTAAAATATGTTTTAAATTTTTTTCTGGCCAGTGTCTGGTATACGCCAACCGGTCTCGATGACTCCCAAACCTTCGCTTACTATCACACCGTTCGGATTGGGTAAGCTGCCCGCTGGCAATGGTGGTAATACTGCCCAGATAGGTGTTAATTTGGCACAGCAACAAAGCGTAAGCACCAGCATACAATCGTCCTTGGGTAGTAGCAGCAGTTTGAGCGCAAATGTTGGTGGCGTTGCAGGTGGCAATAATTCATCCGCCCTATCTGCAAACACACCCACGTCGAGCAGCGGCGGTAGCGTCGCCAATCTATCAACCGCACAACTTGTGAATGTGTCGCAGGCTGCAGCCGCCGCAGCGGCTGGACAGCTCTTAAGCACGCAAAATATCGTTTCGTCGGCAGCTGGAGCAGGCGCCACAGTCCTGCCACTGGCTATAACAACTCGTGGCAGCACAGCTGGCAACATACTCACTGGCACTATTACACCGCTTAAGAATGCCAGCGCCATAACAGTGGGGAAAGTAATGGCTACAGCTAATGCATCAAACTTGGATGGCAGCGGCAGTGGTGCGAGTGGTGGCAGCATTATCACCAGCAGCGCCGGGCCACCGACAAATGTTTACATACATCAAGCAGTGTCAGCGCAGCGTCAGCATGGGTCTAGTGTAAGTGTAAGCGCCACCAATTTACATGCACCACCGACAGCCTCAAGCAGCAACACTACTGTGCTCACAACAACAGGAGGCGGTGGTAATATGTCCACCTCAGCGGGTGCTTTCTTGCCGCAAGGCGGCACAATCTATTATGAATCGGTACCGGCTAGCTCTGTGCAAGTATCAACTGGAGTGCTTTCACTCAGCACCACTACTGTTACAAGTAGCGCTTTGCAACCAGCACAGAATCAGTTAGCAAACGCATCGTCGGCTACGAATCTAGCAATCTCGTCGTTGCCATTTGTTGCTTCAGCAGCTTCGCATACGGGAAATTCAACGCCCACTTTTACAGTAGTGCCTTCAACAGGTGGGCGCTCTATCGCCCAGTTGCAGATACCAGTCTCCAGCGCCGCAGGTACCCAAATTCAGTCAGTGCCATTGCGTTTTAGCGCGCAGTTGGCATCAGCAGCACAGGTCGGCGGCAATGCAAGCTCCTCCAACACACTTACGGCCGATGCCATATCCGTGTCACAAGCCACACAGCAATTGTTGCAACAAAGTGGGGTTGCAGCTGGCCAGCAGTTGCTAATACCCGCTTCAGCAGCGCATCAAGCTGGTGCTGGCACGACTACAGCTACGCTTACTGGCACGCAAGGACAGCACGTTGTTATACCACTGCAGACGTCGATTAAATTAACTGGCGGCAGCGCGGGATCAGCCATGGTGTCCAATTTTCTACGCAAACGCGATGCGGATGGATCCCCCATACGAGCTGCGAAAAATCTTGCACCAACATTGCTATCAATGGGTGGTGGAGGTGGCGGTGGCGCGATCTTAACGAGCGCGGCTGGCTCCCCGGCAGCTTCTTCTGTAGGTAGTATTTTCAGCATAACTTCTGTGGCATCATCATCGGCTTCCTCAATGAGTTCAGTACAAACTACGACATCGTCTGCGCTTACAACAGAGGCTTTGGCTAAGAAAGATCGCGCACAAGCAGCGGCCACTGGTAATGTTATTGGAGTGCAGAGAGCAGCACGTGGTGAGTCGCCTGTTTCATCGGATGGCTCCACAACGGTGTCGGCGAATTCATCACCCGGCGTTGATCAGCAAATACAGGATGGTAATATGTTGATGGGTAATAATATGGGGCAAGGCGCAAACGATGCAACACATTTTAATCCCATAAATGAGGTGAGTGAGATGAACTGGAATATGGATTAGTATTTTTTATATCCGTTTGCATAAAGGAACTATCATTTTGTTCACGTAACGGTTGTTTGTAACAGCCTAACGGAATCGTAAGAGACATAGACATATAGGCCCGTAGTTATAGTCAAAATAAAGTAGACTCGAAAGTAAGATGCAGGTTTTTTGACAGATGTTTCATTAAAAGTTATGTCAAAAGGCTGCAATAACTTTACAGTCGACTTTGTTTTTACTGTAACTATGGGCCATAGTAAATACATAGATATAGCATTTTCAGTTTAAATGAAACTATTTTCAAATTAAGTGAAACATTTTTCAAATTAAATTAAACCTTTTTCAGGTTAAGCGAAACCATTTTCAAATTAAATTTAACCTTTTTCAGATAAAGCGAAATCTTTTTTAAATTAAATGAAACCTTTTTCAGATTCAATGAAACTTTATTCAAATTAAATGAAACTTTTTTCAAATTAAATGAAACATTCTTAAAAGGAAGTTTCATTTAATTTGAATAAAGTTTCATTGAGTCTGAAAAAGGTTTCATTTAATTTAAAAAAGGATTCGCTTTATCTGAAATAGGTTTCATTTAATTTGAAAATGGTTCCGCTTGACCTGAAAAAGGTTGGTTTAGATCCGATCATTGAATCATGAAATATATAGATTTTTTAAGTCTTTTTTTTTTTGCTAAAAATTACTTGTTTAATTTGAAAAAGGTTTCGCTTTGTTTGCACACGATAACTCGAGTTAAAATTTAATTATCTCCACTTTACTTGATGCCGGGTTTTCCGTGGTCCAAGGTTGGTTGGTATTTAAAAACAGCAACATCAGAATGAAAAGATAAATTCTTATTTATTTGAAAACTATCAGAAATGCAAAAAGCTGCAGGACATGAATTTGTGCGCCGGATACAAAAAGTTCGTTTTCGTTCGAACTTATAGCCTATGTCAAGGCTTTTAGACTTCTTTACTTGAGTCTACTGAGTTTCACGCACTTCTTTTATAGCTGTATGCGAATCACCATGGGAACGTTAATATGCACCAAAATGTGCTTATGAGTGGAGGCGGCGACGGCACACCCATCAGCTCACGCAACTCTTCGCTGGATCATCATCAGCAATTGCACGCACCGATGGCGTCAAGCTCGGCTCGTCTCAATGGTGGGCCACCCGAATGTACGACGCGCAAAAAGTCCAGACGCTCAACGTAAGCACAGAAAAAGGTTTTCGCTACACTTCACATATTCATTATTTTGCCTTCTCTTTTTCTTTCTCTCC